CTGAAATAGTAGTTTGATCTTTGCCTTGTTTTTCCCCCTGTGGTTGTAAACCACAGGTTATAAATTTTCATGGTATATCCATGTAGATCAATTGCCAGTTGTTCACTTGAAATTAGAAAACTCAAATTAGCATAATTAAATGGATCCAGCATTGTGGCTAATATTTCAAGTTTTCATTATTTGTGACCAATAACTGAGTGGATTCTGCATTTTTTAACAAAAGGATGGTGACTGCATTTATTTACTCACCCGTGAATTGCATTTTGCAGGCAACAATTGGCATTGACTTCTTATCAAAAACTATGTACCTGGAAGATCGCACAGTGAGTAAGAGTTTTGTAGTAATATTGGGAAGACATTGTATGGTCTAAATGCAGTTTGCAAGAATATGAGCAGCTTCTGATTTCTGATGGGCCAACTGGGGATGCCTCCAGCGCCAGTTGCAGGGAAGCAGTGACAAGAGGGGGAGCGCCCCCCCACTTTGGCACCTGAGAGGCATCTGGTTGGCCCCTGGGGGAAGCAGAAAGCTGGATTCAGACGGGCCTCAGCCAGACCAGCAGAGCTTTGCTTATGTTCTTATCCTAACAGAGGACTACTGATGTAATATTGCATGCTTGTGTTGGCCTGAAAATAATTAGCCTGAAGCACTCATGTAAAAATGCATCACTTCAAATTCTGTATGAAGGCAGAACCCTAAATCTCACAGGTATAAAGTTGATGGAACGTTTTGCTCGTGAACTGGCTTTGTACTGAAGAGATGTTAATTTAAAGTGGACGGCAACTAGTACAGTGGGTTTTTTGATGCCTTAATTATAGAGGCAAATGAAACAGGCTGGTAAACTTTATGTACACTACAGTGACAGTCAGATGTTCTACTTAGTCAGAAATCATCTCAAATTTCCACATGACCAAAAGAAACTTGTCCAATTATTTATTTTTTTTAAAAGCCAAGCCTTTCTTTCCTGTCTTTAAAATAGGTAGTACAGTATCATGTTTTGACCTTACAGTGATGCTAAGGTGCTGAAAGATGCATTTTGATACTTACCGCTTTGTGCCCTCCTTTTTTTCCCACAATGGAGCTCAACGTGCCAGCCGTGATGGTTCCCAGGCAATGTGTAGACTCAGACCGGTCTAGCCTCAGGGGTCTCATGTTCCTTCAGACTATCTCCATTTTGAGTATCGATCGATCAGTCAATCACATCTTTATTACAGTCATAGATCAGCATACCATTTTGGCCCATGGCTGTCAGATGAAACTGATGACCATTGACAGATTACTTTCTAAAGTCACACTGTTAGAAAACATTTCCCTTACCATTAATATTGTTTTATGTTTATTTTTTTAAATATAATATATGATGAAGCTATACAGTATATGGCTGGTGATTGTTCATAATGCCCACTGATCTTCAAACAGCCACTTTTAGCTATCACAGGCTTCTCTTGCAAAACCAGACATACCGCCTTTAACCCAAGAGTATCTCCCTCTGCAGGCAAGCCTTATCCCTTGCTAGCATGCTAACCCAGGATATGCCTGACACTGCCTGCCAGATCTGCAAAGTTAGCTGGGGCCTCTGACTGGCAGCAGAGTATTCTGTTTCCCAAGTGGGCAGAGCTCCTGAACTTAACGGGAACCCCTGAGAAATTCTTGTGGTCTGCTTCTGCTTGCAACCTCAAATTAACACCTTCCATGCATGATTTTTTTTAAAAAAATACTTTGCTTTTTTATTTTAAAAAAGCAGTCAAAAATTTTGTTCACTTTAGTGGCGGTTTGGCGTTTTTTTTTTTTAATTTTTCTCCCATCCCACAGATCAGGTTGCAGCTCTGGGATACTGCGGGTCAGGAACGTTTCCGTAGCCTCATTCCCAGTTACATCCGTGACTCTGCTGCTGCTGTAGTAGTATACGATATTACAAGTAGGTATATTTTGGCTCTGGCTTTGACGTTTTTTCTTGCTTGTTTTGACTGATTTCTGTTAGGTACGATTGCAATTGTGGGACACAGCAGGTCAAGAGCGGTTCAGGAGCTTGATTCCTAGCTACATTCGTGACTCCACTGTTGCAGTTGTTGTGTATGATATCACAAGTGAGTGGGGGGGCATTTCCAGTATTCTTGGCGCATGTGCTCCCTCCCCTCCCCTCCCCTCCCCTCCCCTCCCCTTCTTTCAAGCCAAGCTGTGCATGCTCTACCACAGTTGTGCTTGTTCCTCACTGTGGCATGAAAATGGTTTTCTTGCCTGGAGCTTCAAGCAGGAGACTTTCTACTGTGTTTCCAATATACAGGAACCTGTTTTACAGGATTCATCAGGGCTCAACCCTAGAGATGGCCAGGACCTGCACCTACAATCTACAAAGCAATAAGAATGACTTTGAATAGTGCAGGAAGCCTTTTCTCCCCATTGATTATACCCAGTTCATTTGCATGGTGAAGGCTTGAAAGAGGACCCTGGCTTGAAAGCTGAGCTTTTTGAGAGGTGATTGCTGGCTTCTCCAGTTCCCTAAATTTAAACACTCTGTTGCCCTCCTGAGCAAACCATGGAGCTTCTGCAAACCCTCTTTGCTTTGTTGGTTCTGCTTCTTGCCGTTCTCCCTTGTGCATTTCCTTCTCTCCTTGTACGTGTGCTCAGAATTCCTGAAAGCAAGCCAATCTCATCGTGGTCTTAATTCATCTGCCGTTCTGTGGGTATTATTGTCTTGTGTCGCCTTTAAGTTTCTTGAGTTTCTCTATTGAAGTCATTTATTGTTGCTTTTGCATTGCTCCTAATAGCTGGGTATGAGCTCCAGGGATTGTAACATCCTGTTCTCATGTATACAAACCTTCTTTTTTCTTCCTCCTAATTAGTTTCACTGTTTAATTTCCTATAAAGGTATGTATTTCTCAAAGAACTACATTTAGATACTTCATCTCCATCTGAAAAGCAAAAAAATACTAGTAAGCGTTTTTGAAACCTTATTTTCATCACAAGTAATTTAAGCAACTTCTGTCTTCGCTTAGTTTCAAGTCAGCCTTTGAAATAGACAACTGAATGAAGAAGAATTGGTGTTTAAACATGAAAGAGAAGTATTGAGTTTTTTTTCATAAAATCTAGGCTTAGCCTGAATAGATTGATCATTAAATTTTTTAGGTTTTCATGACTTCAGTGTTCCCAAGCATGGGAAAAAAATGTATTGTACTATTAAGTGACTGGAAGATACCACTCTGAGGTAGAAATGTTTGTTGTTTTCTGTTCTCTTTCTGCTTTTATAGTTGGTCATATCACAATCTGGGTGATAGTTATGGCCAGGGAGGTCACTTGCTCTCCAGTAACACTGATAACTCTAGAAGCATCCACAGTTCAAAAGCCTTTTTGAGCCTTTTTGAACAGGCAGGCTCTCCAAAAGTACCTGCTAGGTGAGTGCTTGCTCTAGGGAAACAAGCAACCTCTAGTAGCCCCATATGGATGACGATTGGTGTCAGGTTAGTAGCTCAGCCCATCACTCCTGTCCTGCCAGGGTTGGGCAGAGTTCTTGGGCAATGAGATGTCCAGCTTCCCCAACTTATAAAGAAGCATTCTGCTAAGAATGCCTCCCTGCCTGAAGCATCTTTGTTGATTGCTGCTTAATTGTTGCTTGTATTAGTTTTAATTGCTAAGAGCGGTTTGTTAGCTCACTTCTTGCCAGAGAGGAGATTTTTAGAAAGCTCCCCTCAGGAAAGCTTGATGGGAAGCCATGCATCCTCAGCCTTCTGCTATCTGCAATTTCTGGACATTCTTGTGTGGTAGAGGTGAGCCCCATCTCTCCACTTATGTTGAAATGAAAAATAAAAGAAGTTCCCAAAAGATTTTCAGTGTTTCTGTGGCAAGTGAATTTGGGATAAAATGTTTGCAAGCTGCCTTGAATTACTTCAGTGATTGAGATGGCTTACAAGCAGGCAGGCAGGCAGGCAAGCAAGCAAGCAAGCAAATAAATAAACAAATAAATATTTATTCTTGGTTCACTTGGGGGTTAGAATGCTATCAATCAAAACATTAGTGCATTGGAAGGGTTGTTTTTTTTTTAATAGTGCAGCTTCCCAGAGTATAATTTGCTGTTCTGAAAAGTTGGTTTCTGGGGAATTTTTTATTCCTAAAGTTACAATGAGGAGGCATTAGTGAGAAAAGAGTAGTGGTGCTAATAACATGGCTATGATGAATCTTCCAAGAAAAAGCATGCTGCTTCTGTGTCAGTATCAATGCTATGATGAATCTTCCAAGAAAAAGCATGCTGCTTCTGTGTCAGTATCAATGCTATGATGAATCTTCCAAGAAAAAGCATGCTGCTTCTGTGTCAGTATCAATGCTATGATGAATCTTCCAAGAAAAAGCATGCTGCTTCTGTGTCAGTATCAATGTCTGTTGAGACCTGGGGCCCAGTCCTTTCTTAATCATCTCAAAAGCAAATCAAACACTTTTTCCTTTTTTGCTGCCTTGACAAATTGCTTGCAATACATTTGGGGAATTTTGCAATAGAAGTATGTAGATGAACTTTTTAGACTGATGGGTGCATTTGGAATTTTGAGAGCATATTATGGGTGTTATGCTGATGACACTACCCTAATAATCAAAAATGCAAAGGATCTACAAAGTCTAGTAAGCACAGTAAAAAGAAAAAAAGGACTAAAATTAAATAAAAAGAAGATTAAGCTAATGACAACAGGTAGAACAACCAGCCTTAGAATTGACAATGAAGATATTGAAATGCTGGAGAGCTTCTGCCTTTTAGGATCAACCATCAACAGTAAAGGAACAACCACTCAAGAAATATCCCGCGGACTAGCACTTGGTAAAGTAGCCATGAAGGCCTTGGAGAAGATATTCAAATGCCGTGATGTGTCTGTACATAGATCAGAATTGTGCAAGCCGTGGTGTTCCCTGTGACATTCTATGGAAGCAAAAGTTGGACTTTGAAGAAGCAGAATAGGAGGAGTATTGACGCTTTTGAGCTTCGGTGGTTAGAGAAGATTCCTGAGACTATGGTGGAAAGCCAAGAAAACAAACAAATGGATCATCAAACAAATCAACCCAGAGTTCTCACTCAAAGCACAAATGACCAGGCTAAAATTATCCTACTTCATACACATTATGCAAAGACCCAGCTCTCTGGAGAAGGGTCTAAAGCTGAGAAGGAAAGAGAAGAAGAGGATGACTAGCAGCAAGGTGGATGGGCTCAGTTACAATGGTAATGGGGGCACTGTTGGAAGATCTGAAAGACCAGGTTGGGGACAAATTGTCATGGAGAAAATCTATCTATGTGGTCGCTAAGAGTCAACAACAACTTGATGGTACATAATCAATCAATCAATCCATTGCTGATATTCTTCCATACTGGATCACAGTATGTGGACATTTATCTATGTATTCATATCTGGTTTTCAGGGATGTTCTTGTAAATTAAGATGACATTATAAGCTGGTGTTTTGCTTTGCAGCAGGCTGGCTCCTGTTATTATTAGGAGGTAGAAATACAACACATTTCTTTGGTTCATGCCCTCTTCCAGCTGATGTGCTATATCTATCACTGAGTCTTTGATCAACCAAAATCTTGATAAACCTCTGATTCAAATGACCACTGAGGACTTAGCAATGCTATGTAAATATATGTTTTGACAAGAATATGCTATACGTTTATTTTGTATATATTTCCTTCCTAGATGTAAACTCATTCCAGCAAACCACAAAATGGATTGATGATGTCAGAACGGAAAGAGGTAGTGATGTCATCATAATGCTTGTAGGAAACAAAACAGATCTAGCAGATAAGAGGTAAGGCGATATATGCCCTGCTTTTCTGACTAGGTTGAGTAGATTTTGTTGAAAAAGCGTCATCGGTACAAAAACCTAAAATCCAGGTTTTGAAAAAGAGTACAGTGCAAGATATGGCCAGCCATATACCAGTCTATGAGTACAAAACTGGATCCGTTGGGTTGAGTAGCCAAAAATCCATCCCATTCAAAAGCAATCTTCTGTTCTTCTACCTCACCCAAAGTTACTTACTTCTCCAGAAGAACCACATAATTACAGCTTGGTCTCACCTTAAAACCAGCTGAACACATGGCTCTTCAGTTAAGCTTCTGTTCCCATCTTCTCTGCAATACGTATTCTTTCCTGTTTACTTGTCTCTTTCTCTGCACAAATCTTAGAACTTGGGTGCATGGCCTGCAGTGCAATGGCCACGTGTGGTCTGCTGGAGAGATCAGATGCACCCTCCAACATCTTCCCAGGTTCTGTTGGCCATGAAGAACAAACTTACCACATCACCACCTCTCTGCATCACCCTGCCCTCTTTTGTGTATATGAGACAGATGTATGTTTTAGAGAATATATGGATGAGACAATAGAGCTTTGTTTGTTTATTTTATTTACATGTTGCTCAATTGTGCATCAGTTGAGTTTGGGATGTGTGTATTAAATTTTTCCAGTTAAATAAATGCTTAATTTTTATTCCTCACAGTTTAAATAGCTCTTTATGTGATTCTCTTCTCCCCCTCCCCACAAATATGCCTGTGTCCCTTGGACTTTGCTTTGTAAATTGCCATATAAATGAACTCAGGGCCATAAGCACAAATCTTACTACGTTCGTTTAACGATCATTCAAAGTTACAACAGTGCTGAAAAAAGTGACTTACAACTGGTCCTTGCGCTTACGACCATTGCAGGGTCCCTGCAGTCACGTGATCAAAATTTGGGCGCTTGGCAACCAGCATGTATTTATGATGGTTGCAAGTGTCCTGAGTCACCAAGGGGCTTCCAACAAGCAAAATTAGTGGGGGAAGCTGGATTCACTTAATGACCGTGTGATTCTCTTAACAACCATGGCAAAAGTCATAAAATCATGGGCAACTCACTTAACAACCGCATCACTTAGCAATGGAAGTTCCAGTCCCAATTGTGGTTGGAAGTCGAGGACTACCTGTATTTAATGGGGGTTTCTTCTTTGAAACCTCTAGGATGTAGCAACTGTTACAGGTCTGAAATTGTGTTTTTCTTGTTGGTATGTATTCCATACTAGAGGGAATTACGATTGCGGTTCTCTTACTATGATTCTTTTCTTTCTTTTCTCCAGACAAGTATCTATTGAGGAAGGAGAACGGAAAGCCAAAGAGCTGAATGTAATGTTCATTGAAACTAGTGCAAAGGCAGGATACAATGTAAAACAGGTGAGTAATAAGGAGCTGCACCCTAAAGGTTGTACGCCTTAAGTAAAAGGAGGAAAGCGTCATTTCAGGCTTTGCAGTCCCATTACAAATCATAGAAATGTTTACTACAATGTTGTTTGGCAGTGATCAGAATCCTGTCTTAATATAGGACATTGCCAGGTAGGGCCTAGCCAGACCCATCCTGCCTACCATCACTTCTCTTAGCAATACAAGGACTTCCAAAATAACATCACACAATTACAGTTAATAAAGTCCTCTTTATGGGGAACTGTGTGTTTGATTTCTTTTATTTACTTAATTCTTTTTTCCTATTGTACTCTCTTGACCTCAGTGTGGGGTAGACATTTTCTATCTTTAAAAACACTGGCAGTAATCACACTTATATTGGAACATGATGTGCAGCCCTTGAATAAAATCCCTCTGATTGTGACTTTCCCTCTGCTACTTCACTGAAAATAAATGCTTTTCATTTGGCAACTAGAAAATCTATAAAAGTTAGAAAAACCAGCAGCGTACTGCCTCTGTGGGTAAAATCATTTTCAGTTCAGGTGTCATCGGTTCCCTGAGTGGAGAGAGCAGCAACTGTCAAAACAGGACAGTAGGCAAAAGTAAAGCGTGGTGATCAGTCAGATCAGAAACAAATGCATGGTCGTTTCTCTAGGTCTTCCAGAAACATCACCCCACGTATCAATCATCCTCTGGATGAGCTCATGGGTCTCCTTGTAGGTAAAATGGCTCTGGTGTGGATGCCAGCTGGGCAGAGCCAAAAGAGACAAGGGGATTTTTTTGGAACCTGATGAAGTGGGTAAGAGACCTTGCTACCCGTGGGCCTGGCCCATGCTCCTCCTGGCTCCTTTGGGCTGCCAGGCAGAGTAGGTGCAGGCGGTCAGATGCCCGTCTGTGGGAGAGTGTGGTGCCACTTGCCCTGAAAGAACAGTGGTGTGCCATTCTTGAATGGGCTCTCTCTCTCTCTAGATGTATCTGGCAGTTTTCCCCAGGTCTCCAACCTCTCCTTCTTCAGAAAGTTGTTGAAAAAGTAGTGGGGATTCACAAGTGGCTTATTGGACACTTCCTGGTCAGGATTTCAGAGGGCCTCAAAGAGCTGACGGAGTGTGCTTTCTTGGTCCTAGGAGACCTCACAGCATCGTTCAAAACCCAAACCTTGGTATCTTCCGGACTGCCTGTAGGATTGGGAGTTGGGACGCTGCTCTGCAGCAGGTGACTTGAACGGGCAGTTTCTCTCAGTGGGAGAAGTGATCAGGCCTGTAGTTGCTACAATGGGGTGAGGGGTCCACAAAGTTTGGTCCTCTCCCCTATGTTATTTAACACCTATATGAAACTAGTGGTTGAGATCTTCCACTGGATATAGGGGAAGCGTTGCTGGTCTGGTGATAACCGTTGTTCCTGCTGGGTCAGGCACTGCAGAAGTCTTGAATTCATGTCTGAACTGAGACAGGATGGGGAGAAACCCCAGCAAAACAGAAAAGCAGCTCCTCCATAAGCATCTGGGTTTTTCGGGAACATCGGTCCTGGTGCTCGCTGCAGACCAGTGTTTCTCAACCTGGGCGATTTTAAGGTGCATGGACTTTAACTCCCAGAATTCCTTACTCGGCATGCATGGGAAATACTGATTTAGAGAGGGCTGTGGAGGAGGAGCCTTCCTTATTCTCTAAGGAGGAAAAGTGGAATGTGGATTAGAAGGTAGACCTTCTGGGTATGGCTCCCTCCTGTGAAACCCCCTGCTCCGGGAGGTAGACATCCTGCCATTGTGGTGTTTCAGAAGACATTTTAAGACTGTTCCGTTTCAGTGGGTCTTTGGCCCAGGATAAAGGTTCTAAGAATCCATTTATTTTCTCATGTAATGCTATGTTGATTTTAATTGTTCATTACATGTATAACATCCAGAGTCTGTATGATTGGGGCAGTCTATAAATGTTGTAAAACTACGTGCATGCATGCATATGTACTTCTAATGAAACAACCAGCAGTGCAGCATTTGTGAGAAGGAATTTCAAAAATGCTGCTCCTCTTTTTTCCAGATGCCTATAAGCAGGCATTTTGTTTCTTGGTTGGTTGGTTTGTCCAATTTATAGGGCTGCCCATCTCATACGAAGTGACTCTGGGCAGCGATGATATTATAGATACAGTGGTACCTCTACTTATGAACTTAATCCGTTCCGTGACTCTGATCGCAAGTCGAGT